ACCAGGTTGAGATTAAAATTTGATGATCACTATTTGTAGAAGACGATGAATTGTCTATTTCGAATTTGTGTAGATATAGTATTAGTGTATCACTAGCCCATATGTAATCAATTCTAGTTTGATATCGGGTACTTTACCAGGTATGTTGTAGATTATTTGTGTGATTCGCTAGATCATACATGTTGGTACTGTGTAGATAGTTAAGTAATCGGGGAATAGCTAACATATTGAGGACCATCCCAAACCCTTTTTCAAAGGGCCTTTTAATATCTTATCCTCAAGTTTTAGACGAGCTAGACTTAGTTAATCTTTGTGTTTGTATTTGTATACATATTGCATATTTGTGAAGCTAACATATAGTCCTACTCTATATGGCTAGGATAACCTTTATATAGATTTATCATGGGTTTGCACTGACTATTCTACAACATTTAGGGGTATGTTTATATATACCAGCTTGCATTCCTCTATATTCCTAATCATGACTCCCTGTGGTACAGATTTTCAGATATAGATACTATATTCGGGACTTTGTGAGTAACTTTCCTAATTGGAATTAGCCTTGTGGGATCTTTACACAATGGCACCAATCCGTTTTCCAATTCAGTTTGTATAACCACAATTATAGTCAAAGACTGGCACCAATTAAGTTTGTATATTCTTCTTATGGAAGGATATTCAAGATATAGTTTTCAAATATCATCACCGGTAGGAATTGAACTCTAGATCTTGATACTCGGGGTGTGACAACTTAACCACTTCACTAAGTTGCTACACCTTTTTTTTGTATATTTTAAGTTTGTTGAAGATGAGTTGTTTATTGCAAATTTGTAAACTCCAAATCACTATTATTAGATTCTTGATCTTGATCATTATTACTATTAATAACAACTAAAGTTTTTACTATAATATATAAAAATTCAATACATATATTAATTATCAAACATATAATAATTATTAATATTATATAATCTCAAAAAATTTAATATATATGTTGTACCTCAGATGTTAACTTGCCTTAGGTGTCATCTGAGATGCCTCAGGTGTTAATCATTAAATGAGGTGCATCATTTATCATTCAGTTATATGAGGTGCCTCAGTTGTTATTTGAGGCATCTCAATTGTCACTTGCGGCAAGTAAAATTAATTCGTAATCCGTGAGTAAGGGAAAGACTATGATTAATGATCAGCAGGGTGCATTTTGTATCAAAACAATCAATATCCATAATCAGGAGCCAAAATTAAAATTTCTCAATTTCTGTTAAGTTAGCATCTTTTGGTTTTCTAATAAAAATTGCAGAGAAAATCTTTCTCTTTCTAATGGTGGTAAAATCATCAAATGTAATCCAATAGATCATGAGATATTGCCATTTACCTCTTTGCGATCATATAAAATTTTATTGCCGATCTGCAAAGAAATTTCATATGATCGCAAAGAGGTAAATGGCAATATCTCATGATCTATTGGATTACATTTGATGATTTTACTACCATTAGAAAGATAAAGATTTTCTCTGCAATTTTTATTAGAAAACCAAAAGATGCTAACTTGACAGAAATCGAGAAATTTTAATTTTGCCTCCAGATTATGGATATTGATTGTTTTATATGAAATGCACCCCGCCGATTATTAATCATAGTCTTTCCCTTACTCACAGATTACGAATTAATTATTATATATTAACGTAAATAATATATTTGCTTTATTACATTTTCTTATTACATTTTTTTATTACAAAGCAAACTATAATTATTTAGGTTTTATTCTTATTATAATATGAATATTCTTTATAACACCTGTTAGTACATTTTTATCTAGCCTTTTTACAATAACATCTACTATTAACACAATAGCTTTTACAGTTGCACAATTCATCTAAAACTAATCTAGCACTTTGAAGTTGAGCAACTTCTCTTACTGATATCTTATTAGATAGAATTATATCTAATTCAGAAAAGGTAGTAAGACCCAGAGGCTCTAGTTCTCTAACTAAATAATAAGTTTCAATAATTCTAAATCTTGCTCCTAGTTGATATCGATTATTATCAGTCTTATTTATTATTTTGCATAGAATATTTAGATGATCAACACTAAAATGATCGATTTTTAGAACAGCTAAGCATACAAACTCCTCAATACAATAGGTTAATTGTTGCTTCTTTCCTTTATTCATTTGATTTGCCATTTTTTGTATATATACTTCAAGGTTATGACGTGCTGATTGTATATGGTTATTATTAGAGAGAACTAAAATATGATTTCAAATTTAAATGAATAATAATTATCATAAAGTTTATTGCAAAGTTAACTATATATTCAACTTTAAGTATAAATAATAAAATTTATCTTCAGAGTTCTTACTATTGTGTCTAAATAAATGATTTCTATCATAATTGCTACTAGAATTACTACTAAAATTATTACTAAAATAAATTATATTTATGTTAAAAATTACTATACTAGAATTAAGATTTTTTAGTTATAAAAAAAAATAAACACAATACCTATAATTGCTTTTAGAAATATCATCACTGCTACCAAGTAAATTATACATATAGAATAAAATTAGTATATTTGTATTTGATTTGCTAATAAAATTGATTAAAATTTAAAATACCTATGATCGATATTAAAATTATTATTAAGATTACTATCGGTATTGTTATTAGAATTGCTATCAGTACTGCCATTAGAATTGTCTTCAGTATTACTATTAGAATTGTTAGAATTGCAAATAGAATTGCAAATAAAATTGTGGTTAAAATTGCAATTAGAATTGCAGTTAAAATTGTAATTAGAATTGTAATTAGAACTGCTACTATAAAATAAATTATATATGCATTAAAGTACTTAATAATTTACTTAACAAATTAATATTATCTAATAATACAAAAAATACCTAGAATTACTAGTATAAGTATTATAATCATTATTCGAATTTCTATTAACAGATAAATTATAATTATATGATTAGAATTAAAGTGTTTTTGATTAAAATATAAATAAGTACTATAACAATAATATCTGAAATTGTTACTAGAACTATAACTAGAATTGTTGTCAAAATTATCATTAAAATTAATATCAGAATTGTTAATAAAACAATCATTAAAATTGTTAATAAATTATCATTAAGATTTCTATTAAAATTGCTATTGAAATTGTTAGTAAAACTGTTACAAAAATTGTTGCTTAGATTGCCATTAGACTTGCTAATAAAATTGACATTGGAATTACTGCTGCTCAATAAATTATATTAGTATTAAATTATTATTTTATTCTATTACTTAAAGTATAAAATAAACAGATAATATTACCAAAAATCTTTATTGAAATCACAATTAGTATTACTACCAATATTGTTATTAAAATTATTATTGCAATTATTGCTAAATTAATTTGTCTAGATTAATTAAAATATTGCTACCTTATTTCATAATATGGGCTAGGTGCTGAGAAAAGAGACAAAATTGACAATTTTTTTAAAAAAAGTTTTTTTTGCATAAATCAATTTAGAATAAGGTTAAGATTATTTTTTATTTAAGACATAAAAGTAGTTGTATTAATAAAATTTTGTAGTATAGCTCTTTAAGGTTTGTATTTTCTTATGATTTATTATAAGATTTATAACATAAAAATTAATTTTCCAAAGATTTTTTTTTTTGTCAATTTTATCCCTTTTCTCAGCACCTAGCCCATTTATAAATTAACTAAAACAATCACAAAAAATACAGGTTTTTAGAATACATGATGATTAATTAATTAATAATTATATCTAAAAGTCTGGAAAAATGATAGTTAGACTCAATGTACAGAGCAGACTACAGGCTGTCTGGAAACTATAAGAGCCAGATATATGGCGAGTGATTTAGTAGAAGACATCAACAATTCTGACAAGTTATCACCAACATCTTTAGACTCCTATAATAAGCCACCCCAATATACAAACAATTTAGATATATTTAACTGCAATCTACCTCGTATTATTTTCTACAATCTAGAAGCATCCTATAACAAAATTTTATGATACCTTAATCTTCTTTTACTTCTATACCCTCAAACAATAGATTTCTTTATTAAACATATTGAACTATTTGACTACAACATTAATAATGCATATAATTTTACCTTCTCAGTTTTTATAAAAAAGGACTATAGTATAGCATATATCTTTGCTCTTCACAAATATAGATATATACATCATGATTATTTTAGACCACTAGTTGAGAGCTACAAATACTTCTTTTTTATTCTGTCTCTCAAATATTTAATACTAGTTTAATCTCATCAGTAATCTGTAATATAAACAATGAAGAATATACATATAAGCCATATTACTATGCTTTACAAGACTTTTAATTAGAGTTACTATATTCTAATTCTGAACTATCTACTAATCCTGACCCCAAAACCCCTATATTTACTATATGCATATTATAATAGATTTCTTAGATATAATCACCTGCCAATACTACTTGAACCACAAACTATTCTTTCATTTTTAAGACACCTTCATTTTTTTGAATATAATCTAGAAAGCTCATATATTCATACTCTTACTATCTTTATTAAAAGACTATTTAGAAGCACATATATATTTGTCTTCTGAAAACAAACTATTATCGAGAAGCCTTAAAGCACTATCTCCATATACCTCTTAAATTAGTTAATTTTCTTATACTTAACTTTCTTCAAATACTCTTATACTACTCCTCACCACATTTTATAACCACTCTTGAACTAAATAATATAGCTTATGCAGCCTAATCTTGGTCTTCAGTCTTCTCTCAATACAATACTAGCATCTTATTAGCTTATACTTACTTACAGACTACACCACCTAGTACAGAACATTAACTACTAATTTTTGATAACTATTTATCAAATTATCCAGATATCTCAGAACCTCATATTACTAAACCATACAATGATAATTTATCTACTAGCATAGATTTACTAATTTGTACTCATAATATACAAGGATATAATGAAGATCTTAAAAGACAAGTTTGAGAAAACTTTGGCCTTGCCAATAATCTTAGCATTATTGGTATTACTGAAACCAAGATCTCTAAAGATAACACACTTACTTAATTTCAAAAATCTAAAGCTTTTACCTATTTCTGGTCTTGCACAGATAGTGCCAAAGCTGGTACTACTATTATGATCCAAAATAGACTCAAACCACATATACATAATATTTTTAAAGAGCCAGAATATGCTATTGCTATTGATCTCTTTTTCAAATATGATTTTAAATTTAGAATTATTAATATATACTTGTGCTGTGATAATTTCCAGCTTCGTCTACAGACTCAAAATACTGTTATTCAATGGGTCTAACATGCAACTTCCTTGAATATCCAACCTATAATTATGGGAGATTTTAATGTTATCAATGATAATACACAATCACTATCTATTAAATACAAGCTATTCTACTTCCTGCAATATAATAACATTTATGATTTGGTAGTTTATACCCAATCTACAAACTTTATATAGTATAATAATAGATATAGCAGTAGCGTATTAACTACATTTGGGCTAATCATCTTATTTTTCGCTATTTAGTCTCATTTTATCTTGAGGATACCAATACTTGTACTAATAGTAATCACAAAATTCTAATATTTTTCTGGTTTTTCCCATATGCACTTACAGAAAAATCTTTCAATACAAAAATATAAATAAAAAACAATGGCTAAACTATACAGAATCTATCTCATCTAAGCTCAAAGACAACAATACTCCTAGTACTATTAATACATTAGAATCTTTGAAATATACTTAGAATAAATTTAAAATAGTATTATTTTATTATTTTTTTTTTTTTTAACGTCTACCCTCTTGGGAGCTAGGATTTTTATTCAAGTATATATAGCAAGGAGTTC